TAATTTCATCCATTCTGTCCAGATAAAATATACCGACTTGTGGCAGAACATTAAGAATCCCCAATTAGAATTGGAGAACAACCAATTCTTTTAGGAAATGTATGTTCATGCAGGCATACAGGCAAGTGCCACTAAAAGATGGTTCTCTGTAACAGTTATACATTTAGTGCACGGATGTGTTTCAAGTATCACTGTAGCTACCAGCAGCCAGGGTACCTTTCTGGAAGTTTTCCATATTCAGTCAGTTGCCAGTTACTTAGAGAATTAAGATTTTCAGGCTTTCAAAGGCATCTAATTACATTAAAAGCCCAGCTCCTTCTTCAGCTTACTGCGCAATGTAGGAACTGAAGTGTCTGCATCACTTTCAAAGGTGAAACTTCAGCCTTAAATAGCTTAGGGAATTCTAATTTGCCAGATGATGGGTTCAGCTTCTAGTAAAGTCATTAAAAGAACCCTCCTTGCTCAGCCCTCTTGTTCTCTCAGGATCAGCCCTGTAGGAGCGGGGAACAAAGCAACACGGACCCCCTTATGCATCCGAAGGAGATCACTTTATTGTAAAAATTGGTCCCTTTTTATACCTTTAACTTTTTCCTGACATAACTGAAACCAAACCGACTCCTAACAGAACTGAACAGAAAGAAGGCGCCCATTGGCTGGCTCAGCTGCAGTGCTGCTGTGCACACATCCTACCATCCAATCAGATTCCTGCTCATACACCGTCTGTGCATCATTCAGCCAATCAGCTTCCTGCTCATACATGGTCCGCGCATTCCTTCAGCCAATCAGCTTCCTGTTCATACACTATCCATGCATTCCTTCAGCCAATCAGCTACCTGCTCATACACTGTCCGTGCATCCTTCAGCCAATCAGCTTCACACTCATACACTAGTCATGCATTCCTTCAGCCAATTAACTTCCTGCTCATACACTGTCCATGCATCCTTCAGCCAATCAGCTTCACACTCGTACGCTATTCATGTATTCCTTCAGCCAATCAGCTTCCTGCTCACACACCATCTGGGCATCCTTGCATCCCTGCTGCTCCAAGCATCGCATTCCAGCACAGCCTGCAGTCATCTCCACTCAGGCTGCAACACTCACAGCCTGGCCTTTCTGCAGAAGCTTCATTTTCCTTCTCACTGCATTGCTCTTAATTTAAAATAAAAATAAAATGGAACTCAACAAGGTTCTCTGAACTAGGAGAAAACTTGGTACCTACCAGAGAGATTTTTTAAAGCAAGCTGCACAGCTTAAAAAACTGTGTTTGGGAGTATGATTGACCATTGGAGACCTGAAGATGCTTTGATCAGTTTTCAAAGCCTTTGGGTAGTTCATGATTCTGGGAAGATTTGACAGTTTGAGCTCTGTGTACTGCCAACTCAGAGGCCTAGATGTGGGATTGGATTAATATTGATCCTATCTCAGCAAATACCAGGCATATTTTTTTTTCTTTAAACTGTTACAGATTCATAAAAAAAATCAAAGCAGCTGGAAATGAAAGACCCTATGGGCCATCTTCTCGAATGTGCCTTCACCTGACTTAATCTGGTTCAAAGCCCAGTGAAGTCAGTGAAAAGAATCCCACAATTTAAGTAGAAAATTGATGTGGCTCTGTTAACAAATGCCTATAGACAAACCCCAGTCTGAGCCAATTATGTGCATTAATTGTATGAGAAGAATAGAACCTAAAGATATACATACCAAGCCCATTTCTTTTACAGTTCACATATGCAGATACTTTTTCTTGCATATAAAAACTAACTGAAATGGCAAAGTTCTCACTCACAGAAGGAGGATGTACAGGTTTCTTACAATGACAGATGCCAGCAGAATGAAAATGTATTTCTAAAATGCATTTCAGTAGCTCTTTAGGCAGCCTAGGAGTTTTTGACAAGGGCCTTAGGAGTTTCTCTTTTTGCATTTCTCTAAATATACTGGCTAGTATAGGAAAGGCTCACTTTCCAGAACAGTTATATCATATAATATAAACAGGACTGTATTACAATTAAAAGAAACATAATTTAATAACTGTGAAAACTAGGCCCTCTTTGCATTTTTACAAAAGATTGTGAACTCTAATTGCTAGTATTTACATAACTCTGGAGCATGCATTCCTCTGGTGAGCAAATGCTAGTATGCAAAAACTTTAATAATCTGTCATTCAGCAGTGAGACTGTAATAAGGTGCAAATATAACTTGATGTCAGGATTCCATTAGTTACTGTTTGAATCCAAAACAACCACTGAATTTCTCCAGTTCCAATTCCAATCACTACCAAGCAAATACATGGGTATGTCCATATTCACAGAAGGGAAAATTTGGAGCAACCCATGGCAGCAACACGCCACAACCTCCAAAATGGCCCCTTCACTGACACACACATTCAATATCTCCTAAATCTGCAATCCCCACTGAACCTTCATATTGAAAATATTCATCCCGTTGGCAGGGATCAGTCCCAGGCACGTACAGATACCCTGATGGAAGAGGTAAGAGTTTCTCTGAGCTTCCTGTCTGGAAGCAAGTCCAGATGTCTGCGGGTTTGTGGAGTATTCAAATCTCCCCACCGTGCACAGACGTCAGGCACTGAAATTCCTGCATCCACTGGCTGATCCTGTTTCCACACTGCTGAAAACTCCATATAGCTGCAAACAGACCCCAAGTTTGGTATTGACCAATGGTTCCTGTCCTAACTTTGTAATGAATCTCTTACAATTCCTTTATCAGCCAGACAGCAGGGCTGTAAGGAGCTGAGAGGGCTCAGTTTTGGCACCAGCAGTGGGTCCTGCAGCCTCCTCCCCCCGTTGCTGCCTTGCAGCTCGCCCTGTGTTTATGCTCCTCTGTAGTACCTTTAAGGGTTCCCCAAGACAAACATTCAAACATCCCTGTCCACAAGTTTCCCATGCACCCAGCAACCCAAAGCGAGCTTGGCCCTGGTGATCCCACATTACCCATCTGTCCCAACACCAAACACCCATCCCTTTCCTGTTCCACGTGGGGATGGGATTTAAATGTACCTTTTCCACGCTGGGAGCAGCAAGGGCGTGTGAGAGTGCATGGGAGAGGGAGGCAGAGCTCTACCCAGCACGCAGAGCTCCTGGTAACAGTGAGGTGCCAGGGCTATAATTAGCCTTGCGCTGGGCTCCCAGCTGGGATGAGGAGCTGCTCCAATGTCAGGCACAGGGACACGTCAGGACGCAGCCGATGGGCACCGGTGCCGTCCTCCTCACCCCCTGTCCGTGTGCTGCCTGCCAGGCCCTGTGCTAGGGAACATCAGGCTCTTCTTCCTTGGGCTGGTGCAGCTGCAGTTGGTGTTGGTGACCACTTCAGGAATTTGTCCCCCACAGACCTTGCACAGAAGCAGGAATATCCCTGGATGGCAGCTGTTCCTGGGTGGCTGGAGCAGCTCCAGCACAGGAGCACCCTCCTACCTCTGAGGTATGGGAACCCAACCACAGCAGATGCTGTTGCTTGCTGACCCGATCCAAGTCATTCCCAAAACCAAGGGAATGTCTCCATAGCTGACAGAAATTTTCCCAAACTGATCCTCTTGCCTTTCTGTGAGATTGTCAAGGGCTGAAACTCTACACGAAAAAAGGATTGCTGACCAAATTGAATTGCTATCTGTATATTTTATGGCTATCTTCTTGTTTGTGCTGGTATAGATCAGAAACAGATCAACTAAATTCATCCAGAATAGTGGGGCTGCACTGATGTATATCTTGGACTCTGAAAATTAAAGAGGAATAGAGAGTGCCATAATACACAATTTTTATTTCCATATGTTTAAGCAAAGATGGAAAAAAGATTAAGCAGAATTTAGGGTTTTATAAAATTGATTAATGTTGAGCCAATACTTTTAGTTGAGAAAGGAATTATGGTCTTTTCAGAATGTTCTTTTTAAAATGGCATTAATTTATTTATTCACCGTGCTAATTGGTTGATTGATCATAATAACTTTTGAGAAAATTGAAAACAAAATTTCCAGTATTTCCTTATCTAGATTTTTATTCTGATGATTTCATTACACAGTTTTTCTAAAGGCCATAGAGGAAATGTGCAGAAACCTTCAACTGCTAATAGCAGTTTGTGGGGTTTAGAGGAAAAATTAAAGTATATTATTTTAAAAGCATATTTCATAGCATTTGTGAACAAAACTAGAGAAAAAATCCCAGTGATTAAAGTTTATTCTTGTCAGAGAATTCAATAGACCAGATTACAAAGATATATATTGACTAAACTCCCAGACTGTTCTTATTAAAAGTTCAGATTTATCTTAGAAATAAAAATACCCAGTCTGATACCACAGGTCTCACAGAAGCCAAGATAGAACAGTGTGCTGATGAAATGCCACAGCTGTGATAAAAATTGACCATATCCTGTAAATTGTCCTGTTCTCCTCTAACTTGGAGCAATTTATAGCATGGTGCTGGTTAACAGTGGAGCATTTATGTAGTTAATTTATTTATATGAAGCCAGTCCACTGCCTAAATATTAATCATGTTTCCTTTATGGGTGCATTTCTTCTGATAATTTCTATAATGAGCCTGTTTTACAAAAACACTTACACTTTTAAGGAAAATTTCTCTTTATTGCTCATGAAATTATGAGTATTTCTCTTGCACTTCACTGAATTAACTGGGACACCCCGTCAAGCAGAGGGGCAACCCCTGGGCAGGTCTCAGCAGCACTTCATGATGTCACAAATTGAGTGTGTGCCCCCCATATTTTTGATGAAATTAAAAGATTTTCTGCTGTAAGCCAAGCCTGTTTTCACCTTCTTCATGTAATTAAGTAATAATCTTTTCATTCTGATATCATTATCTGTTGTCATGGTGATTTTTATTATAAAAATGAATGGCTGAGATGTGGGCGAAGACAAGTTTTTCCTGAACTTTGTTAAGCTAATACCAAGGGAAGAGTATCTGTGATAATTCAATAAATGTGTGATCTTTTAGCACAGCGTACTTTAAAAAAACGAGAAGGACTAGGCATCAGAGACAGAAAAGGCACGTTTAATGCAAATTTATCTGTGTTTAGGAAATATGTGTTAAATTTAATGTTTCAGAACAGTGTCTGCATAACACCAGTCATACAGTACGTGCTGGTGCTGCATGAGCAAAGACATTCCTTTCTAAATCTTAACTCTTAGTGATTCACTTGTTGGAAAAATAGCCTTTTTTTAGGAGAAAGTCTGACCATTTTCCAAGTGTGTCTTTATCACAATCCAGACTTTGAGAACAGCTACCCAAGGTTCACACTTCACCCGAAAGCAGGACACCTGTTCTGGTGGGTGGGTGCACACGAAGTGTCCATGGGTGAAGCTTTGCTCTGGTTTGCCAGGAGCAGGACCATCAGTCACAGTCAGTTCTAGCTGAACTTAGAGGAGACCTACATCAGCTCAGTTAAACTCTGCCAGACATCAGGACATGCTTTTTCTTTTCTGCCACTGAAACATCACAACTGAGGTTCTGAACTCATCTCCCCGGTCATTCTTGCCATGGTTCAGAGCAGAACCTCATTCTCCACTGAAAAATACTGTTGTGTCACCAAATGGTGGCACATCATCATGGCTTGGGAGAGGAGACCCTCATGCTTGGTGACCCCATGCCCATGGGTGGCTCACACTGCTTTTCTCATCTCCCATTTCAGCAGTTTCTTGGGGTTTCTCAGCCTCTTTTCCTGGAGAATGAGGCAACCTCTGGTTTGGCAACTGGTACCTCACGTTTGCTTTACGTCCCACATGAGCGGTTCTGGCATCAGCTGAGTGTGGAGGTGCCTCCAGGCCCCGGCACCGTTCATGACACAGCTGCTCCCTGCTCCCAGCACGTCCTGCGTGGGGCTTTGGCATCTCCTGCCTGGGCAGAGAGCCCAGGTGCCTTCAGCCCTCGGGGTGGGTCTGGACCACATTGCAATGGTTGCTCTACAAACCATTTGTTGTCAGAAGCAGTAGTGATGTTTTGGTTATCATATCTGTATAAACAGTGCCAGTTTGGGTACAGAGGGACAGAAAAACCAGAAATACAGAGATTTCAGGTTTGACTGTGTTAACTATTCTCTTATGACAGACCAGATACTATATTGATTTGGGGTTTTTTCCTTAGGTTTAGTGTTGACCTTTAGAGCAGGCTAAGGGCAATCTGGAGCTTGTCTGTGACCACAGGTTGGGGAGGCAGCACCCTGCAGCCCCTCTGAATTGAAATCTCTTTCTGGCTCTGTCAGCTGATTCCCAGGTTGCCTGACAGATAATGTGGCATGCCAGCAACCCGCTGCTTTTCCATTTAAATTAATGATAAAGTTGTGGTTAAATTAACACTCCAGCAGAGGTAATAAGGACCAACTCAGCAGCTGCCATGATGTATGCAAATTGCAGTTTCACACATTAGGAGCTAGATGTTGCTTAATTTGTAGGTCTTTCTGTCTTTTAAATGAAAGAGCCTCCATCAAGTTCAGGCAATCTTAAAACAAAAGACAAAAGAAACTCCCCGAAGGCAACCACTCACCAGTGCTTCTAACTGCACCTACAGTTTTTCTTCTGGGGTTTCCCTCCTGAGCCCCAATAAACAGTTATTACTGAGTTACACTGCACTGCTGGGTGCTTTTAGGCAAAATATCTGCTGATTTCTAAAGAACAGACAGCCTGATTAAGGAGGTACTGCCGGCCCTTTGGTATAAACAGAAGCCTCATTTAATTTGCAGCGGTGCCACAATCCTGAGGCTCAATATTCATCAGGGCTTTTACCTCTGGAAATGAAACTGTAACAGAGCAAAAGAAGAGCTGTGATAGCTGCCAGCTAATCAGACAGCAGGAGCAGGCTGATAGGAGAGTCACTTTTCTCCTTTTACATCAGTAGAGATGGGAATGGAGATGCAAAGAAGCATGTAACTGGATGGGTTTTAGGAAAGGTTGGTCCATACATTAGTTTTAATGCTCCATAATCTCTCTAAGAAAATTATGGATGTAACTGTGTTAGAGTCAAAAGATTTCCAAATTGACACCAAAACTGAAACTCAATAAGGGAAGTGCATCCTCAGAACAGCAGATCTTGGGGTTATTATGGCCACAGAAAATAGGAATAACTATTGTCCATCAAGGTGTGCTCTGTGAGAAGGAGCAAAATATTAAAACATTCTGAATCAAATTTCAGCTGACTCAGAAACGTGCAGTCACTGTATATATGGTTAAAAATATACTTGAAGCTCACACGATAGTTTCCAGGTTTTATTCAGAAAGGCAGAGATTTCATTCTAAAACAAATACCATCCACATGACTTAGGGATTTGCCTATGTTTTTGGTCTTCTGACTTCTGTGGTCAGTCCTCAAAAGCTATTGCTACAGGTCTTTGAATACCTTTGGTGGAGATTCTTCTTCCTGTGCTCTTGTCACCAAGCCCTCCATGCTCTCTTCCTGATCCTGGATGTCATCTTCTTAGCCTTCACCTCAGCTAGGGATATCTTAGTGATGTTAATGGCATCCCATTAGCAAAGAAATAACAGGAACTTACTTGCCTTGTCGAGTCATTATTTGGCTGCAAGTGTTGAAACAAACTCTCACAGGAAAATGCAAGATGAAAGCTGCAATGAATTTGTGGACAATAAACACTCAGACTCTAACCAAAACAAGGGTGTCTGAGAGTGATTCCCAGTTCCCAGAAGTGAATGCATAGTCAGGACGGTTTCCAGCTCCCTGCTGCAGTCTCCATTGCTCTTACTTCTCAAGGAAAGGAAATCTGAGCAGTCAGGTGGGATGAGAGCTGCAGCCTGCCCTGAGCTGAGCTCTTGGAGATAGGGATCAAGGGAAAATCCCCAGGTGCCTCCATTCTGCTCTTCAGATGCAGTCTTGCCAAACTTGGGTAGTTTACTGTTCAGAACACCAAAGCAGACTGCAATTCTCTCTGCTCTGACTCTGTCACTCAGTATAAACCCCTGCCACTCTCTTAGGTCTTTGTCTCTCATTGCTGAGCTGGGATAATGATGATTTCCTAGCAGTCTGAGAGATTAATTAGCATTACTAAGCTGCAGGGCCCACTCGCCAATTGTGCAAATACAAGTTTGTGTATTCCAATGAATTCTGCATTTGCTGCAGCCCCCCAGCCTGGGACACAATAGAAACACCAAGAAAAAAATTTTAAAAATTAGAAAAAAAGCATTGTTCTTCTGACAAGCAGAGGCAATAACTCTGAGAGACACAGAATACTCCCATCATGGGCTTGAGGCATTTGTCCCTAAAGTGGTATGAAGATTATGCTGGTTCATACACGTCCAGTCCTGAGTGCTGAGCTGGAGGAGGTTCCTCTGTCCCATTCCCATGCTTTCTCAAAGGTGACTGGGATTTGTAATATGGTGCTGAAGCTCCAAGCCACATGGTGAAACTCTGTACCAGAGACACACAGACAGCCTGGACCGTCTGTCCAGTCCTGGGTGTCAAGGTGAGTGGGAGAGAGATGGTCCCAGCAGGAGCATGAAGGAAGGAGCACCAGCAGGGCCTTACCCTCACAGCCCTCAGAAAATGGTGCACATCCTGACAGGCTGGGCACCACATACCCTCCTTCACCCCGTGCCCTGAGGCACCCAGCTGCAGCTTTGTGAGTTCACCTCTGTGGGTTCTCATGAATTAGGAGGTAAAAACTTGGAAAGATCTGCAATGTCACCACCCTTTTAATTGCCCACCTACAGCTGCCCATAAACATGCAGCTGACCATAGTGGTTTATCCTAGAACAGCATAGAAAATAAACAGGAATTAGGATCCTAAAAAAAAAAAAAAAAGTAAAATTTCTTCTATTTCTATTCAGAAAAAAAAACAAAAAGGATGAAGAAATGTAGCATCTTCCAAGCTACATCCCACGTGGCAATCTTCCAAACCTCTTTCCATATGTTCCTAAGTGTTGAAAGCCCAAATGTTCCCTATCTTGCTGCCAAATTCTCTGCATCAATCCAAATGGCTCTTACAATACAGTTGGATATTGTCTAGTGAAAAAAAAATCCCCTCAGATAGATTGATAATTAAAAATATATTTGATCATCAGAGAGATATGACTGGCCAAGGGGTGCTGTGCTGAATGGATCATTAATGCTCACATATTTCAAAGCAGAAGGATATCTTTCTGATCTTAATGGAGTTGCCCCAGAAATCCTTAATTGTTACAGAACATATTGCTGAAGAGATTTGAAACTGGGCACAGAGGAGGAGGCAGATGAGCCACAGCAGAGATCCGCACTGCCGGGTGCAGTCTGGGGAACGTGTCTGGCTGGCTGCAGAGGGAGGCTTTGGGCTCCAACAGACATCACTGGATTGGTCTCAACCCTGTCTCATTTCAGACTGAGCCCCACAAAACTAAAGGCTAGGAATTTATCCTTGTTTTAAACCTCAGCATAGGTGCTGCTGTAATCCCATCCCTGCAGGTGCTGGGGTACTGGGCAGAGGTCTTGGGATGTGATGAGGCTACATGTGTTGGTCAGTGTTTCTTGTACCCATTTCGTAGCACGGGAGGGAAAGAGAGACTCTCCAGCTTAAGAGCTGAATGTTGCAGCCTCTCATCTGCTGTCCTCTTCCTCAAACCTCCCAAGGTTCAGGAATGATGAAGCTTCATGTAGGTATCTCCATCCAGGAGATATCCTTCCTCTTGTGTCTGAAAGCATAGCATCTCCAGATCTCAGTTTCCATTTAAAAACTTCCTGTAACTCCAGAGAAGGTTCAGTAATGTACCTGAAAAAGCCAACAAGCGAAAATAAACACATGCTGGTGTCAGAGCATAGCACTGTAGGCTGGAAGGTTCCCATCTGCAAGAGGTCAGGAGTCCCCTCCGACAGGTCTGCAACAGGAGTATGAACTGACCTCATGAGCCCACAGCAGCTGCAGATGCCACTGACTCCACAGCACAAACAAAACCACAGATACCTTTGCTACATGAGAGCCAGACTGTAGCCAAGATGCAATGGATAACTTGTGTTGGAAGAAACAGGATGAGGTTTGGGGAGCAAACTCTCAGATACTGTAACTTTTGATGTTATTAACAGTACATGCTACTAATTTTACAATAAGATCAGACAACAGGTGTTGATGGCCTTGGGGATTGAAGACACATCTCTAAAGCATACAAGGCTCTGGTAACCATTCCTTCATGTCCTGAGATTGTCCAAGAAGCATTGCCATCTTACACAGGAGATACTTTGGGATGCTTTCTCCCATTTTGCACTGCAATGCTTCTCATTTGACTTCTCCTTTCTGTGTACCCCTGGGTCAATTACCACATGCATTAATTCAGCCTAGGAGAAAAACCAGTGAGTTCCGTTTTTTGCACTAGAAGGTGTAAAGTAATTGTAGCAGAGACTGGAAAAATTAAATAACTGAGAGGGAACAATTATGAACCAGATGCAAACAGTGATGAGTCTGGTACTCAATGCAGAATAGGTCACCTGTGATTTCATTAAGTTAGGGCACAACACTGAGCACAGCTGGGCCTTAGCTCTGTTGGTCACCTGGTGCTACCCCAGTAAAAGAACCCTCCCAGGATCTAGCAGTGTATTTGGGGTAAGGTTTCTTTAAGACATTAAGATGCTGCCTAACACCTATACTAGGACTGCTACAGTTCTTTTCTTATTCCATAGCACAATGCTTTATTTTTTTCTGTAACATGTATTTCACACTAGTGGTATTTTTTGTTTTCTGTGGTACTATTCCCACTTTACATCAGTGTGAGCAAGAGTAGGATCAGGCCTCCAGTTAAATAACTAATGCAGCTGTTTTGCTGAACCAGCTTCCTGGCTGGGAAATGAATCCAGTCAGCTGTGGATCGCAAACCCAGAAATAGAGATTTCAAAGATTTCATACATTAATTTTTTTTTCTTAATATTTGAAGAGTTACTTTTCTTACAAAATCTGTTAGTCAGATGTTAGGAAGTAATTACTGTACGTGAATCAGAAAGGGAATGCACATCTTCTATTGCGCATGAGTTGACTGAGTAAAGAAACTGATGATAGATGACAAAAACGCTAAAATATATCTGAGTGAAATATGCCAGATCTTGCCAGGATTATAAGGAAGAAGGAGCACAGGGCAAGCTCCTCTCATGAGCCATGAGTTCATTGTCTTTCCAAAACAAGCAGCCCACTGCCTTTTTTGTCAACAGTAGAACCATTGAGAGAATTTGGCTCTGGCTGGGCAGGGAGAGTTGCCATCAACACCTAACATCTAATTGCTTTCCAGGCAATTGCATCAGTGTCCAGTGTGCTGGACAGAGCTCAAACATCACAAAATCAAAACACTCTCAAGTATCCCAAAGAATCCTTAGATCATGGAGCATATAGCTGATAGGACTGATCATATCAGTTAAACTCTTGTCTCCATGTACAGATTTATTGTAATTTTTATGTATAAATACAAACATTCTTCAAATGATGGTGTCAGGAGTAATAACACCAGAATAACAGGATAGAAAGCAAAACTGTAGGGAAAATCTTGCCCTGAATAATGCAGTTGTCTAGACTGTGGTTTTCTCCAGGCCACAATATCCCATATATTTACAAACCTGGGCAATCTTCAGTGGCTGAAAAAGTTGCTTCTTCCAATGTACACAGTGCTCTGATAGATTTTGAGATGAGGTGGGAGTTAGTAATGGTATAATTGGGTAAACAAAATCAGGAGCATTAGGAATGGATTCTGCCCTCAGCTTGCCTCCAGTATTGAGCCCTACTTTTCTCTGCACTGGTTTCTCCTATGTAAAATACAGAAATCACTCTTCCTTTTTGAAGTACTTTAAAATCTCAAGTTCAGAGTACTACATTAGAGTTAAATAAAATATCTCAACAACTGATAATAAAAATACTGTGAGTCTTTTTCCATCACTAGCGGTTAATGCCCTTCAGAGATGGGGTTTCTGTAATTACCTTTATGTCACAATGTGGCTGGAGCAACTGAGGCTCTAATCAAGGAAATGATTCACCTGTACTGTAAAAGCTGCCTTAATATGCTTTTTAGGGACATAAAACAGACCTTCAGATTGTGCTTATTGTCACACATAAAGTCAATTTCATTCAAAATACAAATTCCACATCAGTAACTACACCCTTCAAAATTCCATCCTGGAGTGTATAACCTATAAACACCATAAACAGAAATGTTACAAAGGAAGCCTTTAAAATTACACACCAGACAGAATGTTTAATATTT